ATATATATATATATATATATATATATATATATATATATATATATATAAAGACCAGATGAATATGGAGAAGAACAAGACACCAGTTGTGAAGTTATCAAGACAAGGGAAGGAAGATCACTGTTGATAGGACATGATAAGACAAGAAGGAGAGCAAGTGGTAGGTAAGTGATCTTTAGCCAACCCTGCAGCAGATCTGCTGAAAGAAGTTTTTTGGTGAGTGAAGAGTGAAAGGCCTTCACATGAAGGAGTGATCAAGATCAAGGCAGACATGCAGTCAGAGGGAAGGAACAGGAAAGAAGGAGGAAAGAAGGTACAGAGGGCAAAGAGGGGGCAGGGCAGAGAAAGAAACACTGAGAAGACACACAAGAGCCTTCTCAGAGTTCTGGGGTCCTTTTGTCTGTAGCAGACACCTGGGGTATCTGGCGGTGGCAGTGATGACATAAGCAGCTGACAGGTCCCTGAGAGCAGGCCAGTGGGACTGTCAGTGTTCTAATAACTATAGTAATACAGAGGTTAAATACATAACAAGACAATGATGAGTCATGTTAGAATTTTACACGGAATTAAAGGCCATGAACACATTTCTTAAAAAAAAAAAAAAAAGTCATTGTAGACATAACAAGAAAGAAAATGACCTGAATAGCTCCTCATCACAGCAGAATACAGTTATGTTGTAACCTTCAGTCAAGAAAAAAGATAAAAATTGGTTTAGCTAATTTAAATAAGAAATAATCAGGCTTATTTTAAAATTTTACCACTAAATTGTACAGGGAGAGATACTTCCTTATTGAAGGGGTTAATTTTGACGTTCAACCTGAAGAAATCTCATGAAAGATTTAGGTATATCTGTGAGTGTGTTTCTAGATTAATAATATTAAGGTGTTAGAAGGCCATTCCAGGTAGCAACATTCCAAGGCTGGAGCTCTAAACTGAATGAACAGGAAAAAAGTGGCTGGACCGAAAGGTCCAGAGCTCTCTGCTACTTACAGCTGATGCAATAGAACTGGTTGTTTTGTGTTCCTATAGCATCCCTTAGCAGAAAGTAACCTCGAACTGTAAACCATATTACAGCCTTCCTTTCTTAATTTACCATTGTCAAGTGTTCTGCTACAAAGCAAAGAAAAGCGAGTAACAAGCTGACTCAACTGGTGGGACCAGTGTTTTCCTGACACGTTAACAAAGGTCCAGAACAAAAGCTGGATGACTGACAATGCAGTAGCTATTAAGTTAGCATCTTTATTCCTGCAATGCATAAGAAAGATATACTGCTAATGTCCTCTGAAAGACTCCACCCAGCAGTACACCAAAGCAGGTGCCTGGACCCACAGCCAAACTTTGGACAGAACACAAGGTGTCTTACGGAAGAGTGAGGAGATAGAAAGACCAGGAGGGGACAAGAGCTCCACAGGAAGACAACAAAACCAAAAATATTTGGGTCTAGGGGGTCTTGCAGAGACTGATGCATCAACTGATCAACTGATGGATCAACTGATCCATGCATGGAGAGGACCTAGACTGCCGGCTCAGATCTATCCTATAGGCAGCTCAATCTCCATGTGAGCTCTCTAGTAAGGGGAACAGATGCAGCGAAAGGAGGCTGTCTCTGTCCTGAACTGTTCCTTGATCACCTCCACAAGACTGAGTGGCTTTTCCTAGGCCACAGAGGAAGAGGATCCAGACAGTCCTGTTGACACCTGATAGGCTGGGGTTAGATAGTAGGGGAGGAGGAATTAGCTTATCAGTGGACTATAGGAAGGGGAGGGGGAGAAAAAGGAGAGAGGGTGGGAGAGGGAGGAGTTGAGGAAGAGGGCTAGGACTAGGATACAAAGTGAATAAATAATAAATAATAAATAACTAGAGACATCACATACTGAATAGTTGAGTTTTAAAAGAATACATTGTGGTTTTTACTTTAAAAATCAATAGAATTCACCAATAAAAATAAATAAAACTCAATAGAAAAATAAATAGGCTAAAAACATAATCATATTTATTTTTATTTTACTTTATTTATTTTAACTTTAATTTAAAATTTTTCATACACCATATTTTGATCCTATTTTTCCCTGAAACTTTAAACCGCATAACTTACCCAACTTTATGTTATTTCTCTATGGCAATATATATATATATATATATATATATTTGGTATTTTTGAATGACATAAAATGTGTTATAAAATAACTATGGAGAAAAGCTTACTGGGTATTTGTATTTTCTTGAGCTTAGATGTCACTAGAGATTGCTGGTTGCTTTATGAAAATTATCACAGTATCTCAACTTTAACTCTTGTCTCTTCTGTACTTGTGTAACATTATAAAGTATTGCCACGCCTCCACAAGCACATTGGCCTCCTAACACTTCAGGTGACCAAAATTGGAGACAGGGACCTAAAACAAGTTTATGTTTGCATAGGTGACACCTACATTTGATGAACACTATGTGTGAAGACTGGCTGACGGCTAAGGCCAATGAACCCACATTATGACATTCTTTCATCTGACCAGCACTGATATTATAAGCACACACCAGCAAACACAACTTTGTCATAAGGATTGTGGGAACAGAACTTAGATCCTCATGCCTGCACCATCTCTCCATATCAAAGAATCTGCATTCTTTAAAAAAAAAGAAAAAGAAAGAAAGAAAGAAAGAAAGAAAGAAAGAAAGAAAGAAAGAAAGAAAGAAAGAAAGAAAGAAAGAAAAACCCAGCATTTACATTCAGTGGAAAAGCTGTGACAGGATAAAGTTAAGAAGTGGAAACCAGGATGACAGGAACACAGTCCTTGTCAGTAACCAGCCCCACTGCTACCTTGATCTTAGGTACCGGGTCTCCAGAACTGCGGGAGAACATGTTTCTTCTCTTTAAGCCATGTAATACGCTGCACTTTCTTAACATCAGCCTATGGCTACTAACGCAGTAGGCTTCCGTCATATCGCTGGCATGTTCCTTCTCTACTCAAAGTTGTCTGGATCCTCAAGTGTATTCAACTACCATCCCCAGTGCTTAAATGGATCAAATAAAAGCTTCGTGGTAAAAGTAAATTTATCTCTATAAATATTACAACAATACCATCCTATTGTTCCAATACACTTTTAAAATCAAAGACCTGTTTGGATCCTAAGTACTTCATTATTACCAAGAAATTGCATCTGAAGGTATACAGATGTGTGTGTGTGTAGAAATAAATACATTTGAATT